TGCAAGCTTTTTCCTCCTTAGTCTAAGTTTTGCCCTAGTAGAAGAACTCAGCAGGGAGGAGGATGGGGAGAAAACTAGAACAGTTAACTCCGCTTGTCACTGTCCACCTTCTATAAGGCCTTTTGTCCTACCTAGAATCATAGAATCATAGAGTTGGAAGAGACCACAAGGGCCATCGAGTCCAACCCCCTGCCAAGCAGGAAACACCATCAGAGCACTCCTGACATATGGTTGTCAAGCCTCTGCTTAAAGACCTCCAAAGAAGGAGACTCCACCACACTCCTTGGCAGCAAATTCCACTGTCGAACAGCTCTTACTGTCAGGAAGTTCTTTCTAATGTTTAGGTGGAATCTACCTGTCACAGTGGGCACCAGCCACTACTTTCCCCATCATCCCTGACTGTTGGCCATGCTGGTAAGGTATGGTGGGAATTGCAGTCCAATGACATATGGAGGACAACATGTTGGCTTCCCCTGATTTAGATCTTTGGTTCATGTTAGTTCCTAAAACCTGTCCTGTTTTTTTCCACCCTAGATTGAAACATACTCTGTATGTGAGTGTGCTTAATTCCCTTCAAACAAATCTGTAGGAGAGCATATCATGAATCTCAGTCCGTGGTCGACCTGTTACTTCACCACTAATGTGAATGTCTCCCAGCATTTCTTTTTATTGTAAATTATAACTGCCAGGAAAGGCTAAGTCCCTGTGATAATTATTCAGTCGGATAAGAGAAATCAAACCTCACCACACTTGTGAATGAATGTCAGAAGACTTCAGTTCATTTACTCATTGGAATCCATTATCTGTTCTCTTTCATATGAATCCTCTTAATAGGACTTGATTCTTGATCTGGATGCAGGACATTTCATTATCCTTGACTCCATTGAGCTGATGCTCTAAAATTATACTCGGCACACATCCTGTGTAGCTAGATGGCTCCAAAATTAAGTGGCTATCCGAGCAAATGGTGATGAAATATCTCTCTGAAAAATAAAGAGGTCATCAGTGACAAGCAGTGAGAGATAGAAGAAGCCGATGCAGTCTGATAGCTAAAGGGCTGCATTTGTGAAAAGGAAAGAAAGCACTGATCATATCGTTCCCTCTAATACTGAATCTGGGCAGGATGTGCTGATGGCTTTGTAGCCAAAATACCACACTATCCATGAACAAAAGAAAGGCATCTGTGAGTTGGGGGTGAGCCCTATGCTACACAGAAGTACTAAAACAAATCAAAACCCAAACCAAAAAAGAAAGGAGAAGGTGGGTTGTACATGAATGCGCTGTTGTAGGTTAGAGGGGGCAAGGGAAGGTGCTCAGAGTGAATGTGAAAATGTGAGTGAAATTAGCATAAACTGCATCCCCAGTGGTTTAGAAGAAAACAATTAGTGCCAGGTTTGGGATAAAGAGAATGCAAAAGGAGGTAGAGAAAGGAATACTCAGAAGGACAACTAGAAGCTGAAAAAAGAAAAAGAAAACAAATGCTATTCAAGGTTGCATTAACAGATGTATGCAGTTTGAGCTGCTACACTAGCTTCTTGGCAGCAGGATGATATTGCTTACTGGGAGGGAGGGTGGGAGGGAGGGAGGGGGGAGAAGTTTCCTGCCAGTGTGTTTGCACCATACTGACCACACAGCTGAATCCCCTATCCCTCCTGGTTAGGAACAGCAACCCAACTGCCAGGAAGATAACATTAGATCTCCACCACATCCAATGAGAGGCTCCAGAATGGAATCTTCCAATGAATCCTGAGAATTATAGATTGGTACAAAAGTAGATCATCCTTTCTTATTGAATATTTATTTCATAGAGGTTTCTCCCTAAGAAGAAGGGGTGAATGTCAAAACTAGAATAAATTGCCAGTGCAGACATACCCTTTTCAGAGATGGAGATTCCCCCCGCCCCCCACTTCCTATAACATATATTGTGGCCCCATTTTTGACAGATGCAGAGCACAGCTAAAAGACTATTTTTTGCCAACTATAAATGCCATCAAGGGACATAACTCTGTATTTTTTGGCCTTGTACTGAGCTTAGTGTAAGACCAGTAGAGACCTCTGTGCATTCATTCATTCTCTTTAGCTTCCCACCTCCCATTTCCACCACTAACTGAGACTGCTGATCAAAACGAGACAGGTTTGCATGTATCATTGGTAGGTTTAGGAGAGAATATGGAGAAATCCCCAGTCTAAAAAGAAAAAGAAAGAAAACGTAACCTCCCTGTTCCCTTGTGCTATAAATTGAAGTCAAAGGTAAGGATTAATTTTCCATTTAGCTTTAATGGGTTGTGCTTATTTGTTTGTTTGCTTGGAGGACCGCTGAGTTTACTTTCCTAGTTCTATTACTTTGTGTGGCTATGGGTGCTTATCATTAATTACAGGAAATAATTGGGACCAGCAATTTGGCATTAAAAGTGATGTGGAGGAGAAAGCATTTGTATTTTTCAAAGAGACAGTCCTCATCACCAAGGGATGTGCTCTGCTAAAATAATGGCAGCAGAGTTCAGCTGCAAGCTTTGAAAGCTCTACGGCCTGCAGCAATTCTGCATAGATTGAAATATTGTCTGTTTCTTTCTCCAATGTCTGGATTGTCATTTCAGAAACGTACAGTAAAACAATCAGCGCCACGGACAGCAAAGCCATTCACAAATGGTTTGCTGCATCTCTCCAGTCAGGTTCCTCACTATCAGTGGCTAGCATCTGAAACAGAACTGAACTCTGTCTAGGCATCTAAGTCCTCCTGTGATAAGGGGAGGGGAAGGGTGCACTTTCTGCAACCACCTGCTCTGTGGCATTCTGCTCAGTGCCAGACTCCATTTGTTAGAGGGCAAAGGTCTGCAATGGGAAGCCTGCTCTGGAAGTGTAGGCTCTCTGTGTAATTTAGAACCCCAATCACAACAGGAGAAAGTTGGGGGCTAAAGGGCAACAAATTTTCATCCTCCAGCACCAATCCAGAGCATTGTGGGAAGGAAATGGAAGCCACCAATATGTGTTTGTGTGTGTGGTCTGCATGCAGAACATCCCAGATTCAATCCCCGACATCAGTTGTGTTTGGGAGAGATTCCTGTGTGAAGAGAGCCACTGCTGATCAGTGCATGCAATACTGAACTAGGTAGACCAATAATCTGACTATGTATAAGGTAGCATCTTGTACAGATGCTCACTTAGTTAAGGTCCATAGATTATTGGTAGAGCATCTGCATGCAGAAGGTCCCAGATTCATTCCCCAGCATCTCCAGGCAGGGCTGGAAGAAGCCATGGAGAGCTGCTGCAAACCAGTGTTGACAATTATCAGCTAGACGGACCTATGATCTGACCTAGTGTAAGACTGTGTCCTATGTTCCATTAAAAAGAAATCTGCATAGTGCCCTCCTTTATCAGAGGGATTACAAAGAAAATTTCACATTTTTTTCTCAGGAAATTGTCTTCTGAGAAATTTTGGCTTAGTTCTACATCTGACCAAGCAAACCAAGCTTTCACTTGGTTTGTTTTCTCAACCTTCATTAAGCTTGGGGCATGCTGAGGTTCAGAATGCAAATGATTTCAGAGGAGAATGACACATGAAAGACATATTGAGGGTTAAACCAAAACAACACTTTTGAAGCCAAACCACAATAGAACACTATGCAGTGTTCCATAGGCAAATGCAAAGCATTAATCATTCATAATAACCTTTCCTTGTGACTCAAATATTAGTAAGGTAAAGGTAAAGAGACCCCTGACTGTTAGGTCCAGTTGTGAACAACTCTGGGATTGTGGCGCTCATCTCGCTTTATTGGCCGAGGGAGCTGGCGTACAGCTTCTGGATCATGTGGCCAGCATGACTAAGCCACTTCTGGCGAACCAGAGCAGCCCATGGAAACGCCATTTACCTTCCTGCCAGAGCGGTACCTATTTATCTACTTGCACTTTGACATGCTTTCGAACTGCTAGGTTGGCAGGAGCAGGGACTGAGCAACGGGAGCTCACCCCATCGTGGGGATTCGAACCGCTGACCTTCTGATCGGCAAGTCCTAGGCTCTGTGGTTTAGACCACAGTGCCACCCAATAGTATGCCACCCAATACTACGCCAAGCCCATTGCCAGCTTTGACCAAACAGATGTGTGAGGGAGACAAGCCTATGTGCTGTTACTGTCTTAAGATAAACACAGTTGTCTGCTCATAACAGATCCCCTTGAATGTCAAGATCTTCCAAAACATATTGAGACATCATTTTTACTTACAGGTTATTACACCGCCAAGGGCCTATGACTGGTATATGTCAGCTTCCATGTGTCCATATTGGCCAGCCTCCGAGAGCTAATGTTGTTTCCCATGCCAATAAATCTGCTGCTATGTTGAGAGAAAATACCGCCACCCAACATAATCACCAGTAACTGTGAAGATTTCATCATGCTGCAAAAATGGTTCCTCAAACACCTCTATAGCATAATCCAAAGGCTTTTAATGCATCCCTTTGCTCAACTGTAACTTTTCTTTTTAGCTATGTTGAACACATATTTCAACCTTCATCAACTACTCCTTTGTGAATGGACAAGTGGGAACAAATACAGCCCCAAGTCCAAATAAATCTAACCAATCCCAGCAACACTGAATCACTGTCTATTTGTCTCAGCTTTAGCAGCTTAATGACATGCGTGCACACTCATGCCACAAATCCTGGCTGCCCTATAGGACTTTTTTCAGCTTTTCCTGTTTATTTCTGAACAAGTTTAATACTGACCCTTCCCCTTTGAGGGCTAACAAAGAAGGAGCAAATAAGGAGAAGGTTTCCAATATTATCTAAAATATTGTCAGTCTTAATCGGCTGTGTAAATGACACCTCCTGCATTCCCAGAAGAGCTAGAGCTGTCTGATTCGCTTTCGCATTAAATAGTTTAATCATAACTACTCAGCTAAGATAGGGCAGGGGTACAAACAAATAAAGTGATCACTCCATGACAGGAAATTGGCCAGCACAAATCATAGCACTTATATACCAGAAGCATTCACATCTACTCATCAAATAGCTCAGTTGGTTAGAGTGTGGGGCTTATAACACCGAGTTTGCAGGTTTGAGCCCCATAAGGGGCAGGTGCATAGTTGTGTATTGCAAGGTTTTGGAGCAGATGATCCTCACAGTCCCTTCCAACTCTGATCTATGATTCTGTGATTCTACTGGAGCCTATTAGATTATCAAACTGAAAGCCATTTCACACCACTACAAACCATTTCATACTACAATTTACTGTTAGAGTGTGGGTGGTGAGATTTTGGAATGGTGGATTCACCTGGTAAATGCCTTAAGTCTTTCACTGAAACTAAGACTGTTCATCTGGTCCAGGCATAGCCTGGATCCTGAACCAAATTTGGGTCATTCTGGGGTTTGTCCAGAGTGTGTTGAGTTAGCAGTGAATTGTCCCATGTCAGGTCCACCTGAAGCAATTTGGAGCTGTTAAAAGGGCAGAGAGAGAGAGAGAGAGAGAGAGAATAAATATATGGTCAGGCAGAGAAGAAAAGAGGGAGAAGTAAGCAAAATACAACATTAAAACAATTTCTATTTTTTGTAATTGTAAGTTTTTCAGTTACAAAAAACAACATAAAATGACAATAGCATCTAATAAAAAGTAACAAAAATTCAAAAAAAGAAGAAGTAAGCAATAAAAAACAGTCTTTTTGAGATCCCATAAATAGAACCATACTATTGCTGACTGTTAAACAATCATCATTTCTACTTTGAAAACATGTGGATTGATGTTTGCTCCAATTCAGTAGACAGTGTTTTTTCCCCAGGGAAAGTGGTGGGATGAAAGAAAAACCTCTCAGACCTGCACCTAGAAACCATGGGAGAAATGGGAGTGTGGATGAGCCCTTAGTCCAAAGATGTGGAGGGGGTTGACCACATCCTGCCATTTTATTTAGAGTAACCCTGCCTACCAAGGCCAGGGTTGCAGAATGTGTAAACCTCAAGATGTTGCTGGACTACAAGTCCCATTTGGCAATGCTCCAAGCCACACGCACCTTGAAGGAAAAGAACCAACTTATCTCATGGCTACCATGTTGGCCTGAAATTATCAGCCAACCGACACAGAACAAATGGTATTAGCTTTATCAAGGCCTAGCTGGGAGGGCGGTGGACAGGGTGGAACTTCCAAGTTAGCAAGGTTAAAACTTTCTTCCTTTAGCAGAGTGGGGAAGGGGTCTTACAACCAAATGGTGGCAGCGATAGAACCTCTCATAGGGCTTTGAAATGCCATTAAAATCCAAGAAAAAAGAAGTATGGGGTGATGAGAGCAAAGCAGAGGAATTTATGGTTGTCAGATTGTTCCAGGACTCAGTTTAGTGGCCACAGAACAAAGGCAGGGGACCAATTGACTTCACACTGCAATGGGAATCCTGCAACTACACCTGACCAGACTGGGTTGGAGCCTCTTGCTGCAGGCATCCAATAGGCGCATTATCTTCTTCCCTGCATTGGTTTGTTTCTGTCCTGGAAGCTACAATCCCTGGGAACCAGTGGACATTAATTGGCTGAAGTATTTTTATCACAGCTCCCCCATGTGAGTTAAATGAGATCTCCCTGCACAGGCTGCACTGTGCCTAAGGATTGAGCAAAAGCCTAACACTACCCCTTTAGGGTGTGTCTCTGTGTAGTTCAGTTCCAAATAAGTTTTACAACAGTGCTCTGTCTGTGGCACCACTTTTCTCTTAAGGTGTATTGAGAGGTTCCAAAATACACCTCCTGACTACACATCCAATCTTTGCATGTTTATTATTTGCTTATCCAAATACAGACATTGTTTCCACTTTAATCTGTATTTCATGAGTACAGCAGAATTAAGAAAAGGAGTACATTTGCTTTCTCACTGAGCAGAAGAAAAAGCAGCTTATCACCAAGAGCATTTAAGATAACAATGCCTCTCACTTGCCATGTGCTCCAAGTTAATGACATCTAGTCTTACCAAATCATTGTAAATAAGAGAGAGAGAGAGAGAGAGAGAGAGAGAGAGAGAGAGAGTTCTCTGCAGTCCTTGGCACAACTGCAGAGGTTCTTTAAGATTCTTGGTCATCCTTTTCATTTGTAATACCTAAGAAACAGCTTCCCCTTGTTTTATGAGGCCATCTATCCAGTGACCTGTATCTGCCCCCTCCGCACGGTTGATTTCAGTTCTGCCCTTGAAGCGTGGCTCTGGCAGAGCTGCCAACACACACTCAACATCCTTCTCTGCTTTTCATATGCTGTTCTTATAAGAACTCCATAGACAGGAATGGAATTAAATTTCTCATCCATGTGCATTGCCAGAATCTCTTCCTTTGCTTGCCATTATGGGTTCTAGCCAATGCTATTCCTACTCAGAACAGACACATGAGCCTTCTCTATATAAGTAATTATATATTACTATATAATAGTTATATTATAATTATTATGTGTTACAAAAGCCAAATATATAGGTGTAAAATTATAAAACATATACAGGAATTACAGCTGTGGCAAAATCCCTCAGTGAAACTGGGGGTAAGGTAACATACTGAGTCTGGGTGACTTAACCCTAGTGACTCTAGAATTATACATAGTATTCATAGAATTCATAGAATTATACATAGAATACATAGAATTCATAGAATACATAGAATTATATATAGAATACATAGAATTCCTGTTAATTCAGGAATTCTATGTACTGTATGTGGTAGCATTTAATTATATTCAGCAGAAAGGAATCTTCTATCATTGTGTGGTTCCTGTGACCACCTACTCCTTTAATTGGGAATAAATTCAAGGTGCAGCAAGATGGAAACCAAACTAGAATTTTATCAACCAGCACTCTGTGAGTGCTTAATGGTTTCCGCTAGTAAAGAAACAATACTTAGTTTCAGTCAAAGCATCTATTACACATATACTTATGATGGAACTTATAACTTTCCTCTATATGATGGTTTCTAGCAAATCAAATTCCTCCTAGGATGGCTCTTTTACCCTATCTGTAAAATACCTCTAGCCACTTTCTGTGATATCTTCCTTTCCCTGAAATTTGCATGTGCAAATTTGCCCTTGCCCAGGACTACTTTTCCAGCCAAGCCCTATATGGCTGTTAATCTGTCAGATTCCACTATTATACTCTGCACTTCATCCTGATTGGTCGTTTCTCTACCCAACCATGATTGGCCAGGAGGATGACCAAAGTCTGTCCATCACAACAACCATGAACCAAGAAAACTGTAAAAGCAATAAAGAACCATTCAATATATTTAAAAAAAATAAACAAATGTAAAACAAATATTTATATGTATAAACAGAAGTGTAAAAGCTGCATTAGAGTTTGATTTAGCTCACCTATATCCCACTGGAAATTACAGCAAGTAAGTAATCTATATTTTGCAGTATTTTTATTTTGTAAGTTGCCTTGAGACTATTTTTAGTAACAGGCAGCTAAGAAATTAAATAAATGGATAAATTTTGTTTTACTTGCTGATTGGTTTTTGACACTTTGTTGCACTCCACTGTATAGTTTGTTAATATTGTTTGCTTTTATCACTTTAATGGCTTTTGGATGAAACATGATAAAGAATTGTTGCTGTTGCTATTTTATTTTTGTTTATTATTATTTCATCACCACCAACAAAATGCATATAAGTTAATGCCTCTTTAATCTCTTATCCCTCTTCCCATCATATGTTCCAAGACAATGAAGTTTATGGTTCCATTAAAAAAAAAGCCACCTGATTTATTTAATAGATTGATGTGAATTTCATTCGATGGGGAGAGAAAAGTATGAGCCACTAGACCTAGGGTTTTGACAGCACATTTTTAATTCTCTTCTTTAGCATTGAAATGCTCTTTGCCTTTGCAAAATGTCATTGAAAAGCAATCCACCCGGGACATTTGCAGAACACAGGACTGTGCATAGAGTTGAACATTAGTTCCGATGTGATAAATAAGGAAAGATTTCTTTGCCCACCAATACCCACCATCCCACCAGCACCCACATTTCCACCCAAGATTTATAGCTAGGTTCAAAAGATTTCTCCTACAGGGAAATAGGATAGGCCACTCCTGCAGAGGCATTTTCAAAACGGCATTTTGATTCACAAGCTGTCATAAATCACAAAAAAACTAGGGGAAATGTAATATCAAGTTCTGTTTTATTAAAAGTCTCTCAGCATTCACAGCTTCATCATTTTTAGTGAACCATCCAGTGGTGTGTGTGTGAGTAAAAAATATGGTTCGGTAAGTGGCCGACTGTTAAGCAAGGAAATGCTTTGGCAACAAAAGCCATGAGGATCCCACAAAATGACAAAAGAAAAGTGGAGATACGGGGGGGGGGGGGGGGAATGTGTACAGAAAACACACAGATTTGTCATCTCTCTCACCTGAAGCCTAGATACAGCAATGGGGAGATGGAGTGCATGAAGAGAAGGGTTTACTTTGAAACCACTGCCAGTTTCCTTATTGTAAGGTTGGCTTTTGTGTGTATCCGTATCTATCTAGCTATTCTAGTCGCTTTTACTCTGCAAAGAGAAAGGTAGGTGCATAAGCCGAGCTGAGCTAATTTCTCATTCAGTTAGCATTTAGTCTGGATATTCACTTCCCCTTTAAAGTTCAAGTACTAGGGCACTTGGAAAGTACTCCTATGGTGGCCAGTGTCCTACACATGCTACTCCCCCCCCCCCAGACACTGCATAACATTCACATCTTTGTTGTGAGCATTATGCCCCCCAGTGAAACCCAGTAAAATTTTCTGATATCTTTATGTGTGTATATGTGTGTACAGTATCTCATATATTTCGGTGTGTTTTCACACACACACACACACACACACACACACACATATATATATATATATATGAATGACAGCGACTATACTCTAGCCTAATCTAATTGCAGCAGTTAAGAAAGTCCTGAATAACTTCATTTTTATTGTGCTAGCTCATAAACGTCAACCATGTATACAGTGTTCAAAGGCAATTTTATGCCAGCATAATAATTTCACCAATTCCCCCCGCTCAAAAACACCCCCACCCTAAACTGCTCTGACAGGTTTTCAACTGTGGGACTGGACAGGTGCTGTCTTAATGCTTTTAAGAGCTCTATATGC